TACTCGATTTGTGTGGGAACCTGGAACGCTGTGTGCGCGAGGCGAGTGTTCGGGTGCGGGTAACTGTTCGGGTATTGGTTCGGGTGGTCCTGGTACGGGAAAGGACGCGAAAAGGCGCCGTAAGAGTTACCTAGTCTCTCCAAGCGTTCCCGTTCCAGCTGACTGGGGCCCGGCGGAGCGCCGTACAGCCCGAACTGGTGTATAGCTTGAGGAGGCGCCGAGGGCCCGGGCGCTAGTCCGGCGGCGGCGTAACGACGATGAATCTCCAGCCAGTGCGGGTCGACCGGCGCCGGCATGGGCCTGGGCGTCCCCTTGAGCAGCTCCTCCTTCAGCCGGTCGTTCAGCTCCCGTTCGCGCAGCTCCCGAATCTCCCGCTCCCTCTTCTCGCGCTCGAGGTGCTCGAGCTCGAGGCGCTCCCGCGCGGCGGGGTACATGTAGCCGAACATCGGGTCGGAGGGCGCGGGATGCCTGGCGGGCGAGAAGGCCGCGTGCGGTCTCGCGTACTCCGACAGCTGCCGCAGCGCGGGAGTGTCCGCGTAGGAGCCGGGCCGAGCCGCCGCCGCCGCCGCCGCCGCCGCCGCGTACCTGTCGTACGGCGAGACCACCGGCTCGAGGGGGCCCCTGCTCGGCGGCTTGCAGACCTCCGCCGGCTGCTTCTCCGGCGTGGTCATCTTCCTGGCCTGCTGCGCCGCGGCTCTGTCGCGCTCCTCCCGCTCCCTCTCGGCCTGCTTCCTCGAGCGCTCCTCCCGTTTCCGGGCCAGCTTCGAGTCCGGCACCGGCTTGAACATCAAGTCCGTCCTGGTGCAGGAGTTGTTCTCCCCCCTGTTCCAGTGCCGCAGGAAGATGGCCGACTGGGACCTGTGGCACTCCGAGTCCTCGATTCTCGGCTCCGGCGAAGGACCCCTCGGACTGGGCGTCTCCTCCTGCTCTTGCTCCACCAAGTCGGGCTCTATCTTCGGCTCCGGAGCGACCGGCGGCTGCGGTTGCGGAGCCCTGTGATGGTGGTGCGCCGAGCTGCTCGACGTCAGGCACGTCGCCGGGACCAGCGACGGCTTCCGTTGGGCGTTGTGCGAGCTGTGGGACGACGAGTGACTGTGCGAGCTGTGCGACGAGATCGTCAGCAGCTTGTCGTGGTGCAACGCCGTCGCCTGATGCATGCTGGAAGAGTGATGGTGCGTGGCGATCAGGTTCTCCCCTTCCTCTCTGGTCGTCACGCTGGAGCTGCTGCTCGAGTGGTGCGCCGTCATCATCGTTGTGCTCTCCTGACTTCTCTGCGGCGAGGGCGGCGGTATCGCGTGCGGCACCGGTCCGTACGGGTACGGCGGGA